TGTATTCATTTCTGTTTTGAGCCATTTTGCAGAACCTGAGAGGGAGTGATTTTGGAGAACTCTCGCAGCAATCTCCATGCTGGAAAGTTATGCAGGGAGTTAAAGTGGGGGTGACAGAGAGGAGTTGTCTCCTCACTCAATACAGTGGTTAAATATAGATAATATGTCCTTTAAAGTGCTTATTCTTGTGTAAATCTGTCACAAAAGATAATGTTGCTGCTGTTTTTCCCTTCCGAGCAGAAACATTCATGTAACTAGGGAGTAAACTAATCTACTTCTGTTGTCTTTCCTTCCTTGTATGTTGATAAACGTGTTAGATGGTTGAACCTGACGGATGTATACGTTTCTTTCAAGTTATTAAGATGAAAAAGTGAAGTACAGGCTGGTTTTAGCGGCCAAATCAGCTTTAACCACAAGGGTAGCTTCTAAATAGCTGTCCATTGTCACGTCAAATCATTCACCTCACTCTGTTTATGCTTTCCTGACTGAATGGTCAAAAGGCTCCTTTTTTTAACCTCATTTTAAATTAATCAGGAGATAATAAAATAGGGCTTGAACACTATTAACAATTTGTGGTAATGGAAAGTGATTTTAGAAACTCCATCAGAGAGGAAGCAATGCCTGAGCTGCTACAACTCCTCCATTCATGAGGATTAAAGAGAGGAACCAAAACCAGCAGCCCAATGAATTGGAAGTTATATTATCAAGTAAGCAGAAGTAAAACAGGGGAAAAAAAACAACATTTGGTTTTGGGAGAAACAATAAGCAGAAAACCGAAATAACAGAAACAGCTCCAGCTTTTACATCCACCTTTTGTCTTGCTTACAAAAACAAACATCCGATTTTAGAATGCGAGATAAAAACTGGACAAGGCAGGGTAACACCAACCGAGCCCCATGAAAGATGTCATAACTGAAAACCAAGAAGTTTTTTAAAGTCCCTTCCTGTCCTGAAAGTGTCGAGGTTTGCTGAACGTCAGGTGATTGTTGGCAGTAGCTTGGGCAAACATTTACATGAACATAAGGCTGCAGTATGACACATATACAGTCTAGGTTACAACCAGCAAGTTAAACATTAGAAAGGAAAATCAAGGAGGAAAATCAAGGCGGGGTTGAGCACGAAGAAGGGGAAAAAGATAAGGAGGAGGGAGTAAAGGGAGGACTACCTGATAGAGGAATAACACTGAGGCGGAGAGGCTTTTGCAGCTTCACACAAACACATTTTCTGTCAACTTCCTCACACTTGAATGGCCTATTTGGGCTACCATCTGTACTTCCTTTCACTGACAGGACAGCAGCTCAGTGGGGGAAAAAAAACAAAAAACGCATAAGCTCTGCAGTTTTAAAGACCGCAAATATTTAGCTAAACGTTTTAAGAAGCCGGGGCAACACACCTCATATTGGGTTACAAGAGAGATCAGAAAGGCTGCCTTTTCAACAACTTGTTTTCACTCAGACTCATCCTGAGCAGCTTCTTTCCCCTCCTGCAGAAAACAAGACTGAAAGTATTTCCCACCATCTTCTTAACGCATCTTAAAATCAGATTTTAATTCCATAAAAGTTTTTTACATGAATGTATTTTATTGCTATTGTGATGCATAGTAGTAGGTAGCCCTGTTAGGAGGTTCTCACAGGAATATAAACTCCAGAAAAATGTATCAGATGATATTTCTTTTGATTATCTCGATGTTCAAGCAGAATTTTGCTGTCCTGGTATAAGATGGTCAATAAATCACTTTAGCTGTAAGCCTTTTTAGCCTATTTTGAGCTTATAAACCAATTTCGGAACCCTTAAAACAGTGATAGAGGTGTGCTTCCCAGCTATCCTGTCTGTTTTTGGAATCCAAAAAGTATTTCTCCAACATTTAAATTAATCTTTCTTGAGTAGCCATATGACAGCAACAGGTGGGAGAGGGTTAGTCAGGGTTTACCTTATACTTATATGTTAAGACAAAGCTTTGGTTAT